TTACCTAGTCGGACTATTTGTCCCAGGTAAACATACTCGTCAACAACTTCGAGCTTAGTGTTCCCAACAACTACCGGCATAGGTGTGACATGGACATTAAACATGATCTTTGTTTTGTCCATGTTCATCTTAAGACCTATCCGTTGGGAAACACTATTGAGGTCATTGAGCATAGTGCTTAGGTCCTCCAGCGATTCTGCCATAAGGACTATATCGTCGGCAAATCGAAGGTGAGTGATGTACTCGCCATTGATGTTGATACCGTATCCTTTCCAGTCCAGAAGCTTGAAAAACATCTTCCAATGCAGCGGTAAAGAGTTTCGGGGATATGACGTCACCCTGTCTTACACCTCTCTGCAATTGGATAGGTTTCGTACTCTGGTTCTGTACTCGGATAGCCATCGTAGCCCTACTGTACAAGCACTTCAACACTTCGATATACCGACAGTCAACTTGGCATCGCTGAAGGGACTGCAGCACCGCCCAAATTTCGACGGAATCAAAGGCTTTCTCATAGTCCACATACGCCAGACATAGTGGCAAATTGTACTCCTCGGACTTCTGTACAATTTGCCGAAGGGTATGTATGTGGTCTATGGTGCTAAAGCCTTTTCGGAAACCGGCTTGTTCGGGAGGCTGAAAGTCGTCAAGTCTGCGCGCGAGACGATTCGTAATGACTCTCGAAAACAGCACGTAGACGCGGCTCAGAAGGGAAATCGGTCTGTAGTTCTTCAAGAGAGCGTTGTCGCCTTTCTTGAAGAACAAGACCACCGCACTTCTGCTCCACGCCTCCGGTGTAATGCCACCATGGAGGACGGAATTAAAGAGCTTCTGAAGGACTTCAAGTACCGGTTTTCCACCCGCTTTCAGAAGCTCCGCTGTAATTCCATCCTCGCCTGGGGCCTTGCCGTTTTTAAGGTGCTGGAGAGCCATTCTAATTTCGCTCAGACTGACGTCCGGGATATTATCGGAATAATGTCGGATAAGACTCGCTCTTGGATCGTTACTCACACCTGCGTGCGGCTCCAACGATGACGTGTACAGCTGTCCATAGAACCTCTCAATCTCACTCAAAATCTCAGGTGCCGCGGAAACGATGCTGCCACATTCTGTCTTCAGCTTTGACAGTTGGCGCTTTCTGGCAGACAGATCTCTGGCAAAGACTTTGGAGCCTTGGTTCCGCTCGATCGCTTCTTCAATACGAGCTGTATTGAAGTTGCGTAAGTCTCGCCGCATGCATTTGGAGATCTGTCTGTTCAGTTGCCTGTATGCTGTTAAATCTGTTGAAGAATGTAGCTTCATCTCCCGTCTAACAGCCATGAGATTAAGAGTGTGATCGGAGAGTTTTTGTGTTCTTCTGCGGCGGGTCTTGTAGAACTTAGCTCCGACCGCATGGACAGTTTCCACGAGCTTGTCATTCAAATCGTCCACTTCATTGCAGTCTTCTAGGCACTGAAAACGGTTTTGTAACTCGAGCTGAAAGGTTTCGGGACTTTGGATTAGAGCACGAGGGGGACGGAGCGTTGACTTCATTAGACGAGACCTCTCCAACTTAACGTTTAGGTTCAGTGTGCCTCTAACCATTCGGTGATCGCTGCCGGTTTTCACCCTCGCGATCACTGAGACATCACTGAACAGTTGTCGTCTGGTCGTCATAATGAAGTCAATCTCATTTTTTGTCGAACCGTCGGGGCTCGACCAGGTCCACTTCCTGTGGGGCCGCTTCTGGAAGAAAGAGTTCATCATAAAGAGTCCCTCTTTCTCCATGAAGTCAGCCAACTGCTGGCCCCTTGGGTTCCGTTGCCCTATTCCAAATTTCCCTACTTTCAGCTCACCGTTCTCTCTTGTGCCTAGTTTTGCATTGAAGTCTCCCATTAACACCGTATATTGGGTTTTGGAGGAATGCATGGCTCTAGATATATCCTCATACATTTCCTCCACCTCCTGATCGGGGTGTGCCGAGGTTGGTGCGTAAACCTGTATGACCTTCAGCGAATACCGTTTGGTGATTCTGAGTATAAGGTACGCAACCCTCGTCGACACACTCTCAATCTTTACAACGTTGTTAACGAGAGACTTGTGGACGATAAATCCGACACCTCCTTGGGACAGATGGTCGCCCTCCCGGTAATAGAGCAAGTTGCCGGATTCGAGGATTACCGTGTCCTCCCCCTCTCTTCGGACTTCGGATAATCCTATAATATGCCAGCGTAACTTGTCTATCTCTTCTTCCAGCTCCACAATCTTCTCGTCAGTCCTCAGGGTGCGTGCGTTGTATGTTGCCAGGTCGAGTCGTTGTAGGTGGCAACCGAACCTCCACCGGAGATTCTTAGCACCCCCTGCCCCGCCGTTACCATGGTCGCCACCGTAGCCAGGAATAGCGGGGCCGCCGGGGACTAGGGGCCGTTTATTATTGTCATTGCTCATGGGGGGTATATAGCCATAGTTGCCACGCTTGGCGAGCGGGTTGGCAACCGCAGTTTTTTTATTGTTATTTTGGCTATTATCAGGAAGATGCTGCTGCCCATCTCCTGCCTGTTTCCCTTTGTCGCCTTTTACGACACCCACGGGAAGATATGGGGTAGTGGATATTCTCAACCGCCACTACACGGCTAATTACCAGTATAGAATCTATAAATTGACCCAACTATTTAGGACTATGGGTGATAAAATTGAGGCTCAAGAGTTGAAGAATCATGAATCTTTTATTTGCGTAAAACACGGTAAATAAATTGTGACATCAAATAAAGGATCAACATGTTTTGTCCTGTTAGAACGTGCAAATATTTAAGTATAAGATCAATTGAATTAAAATTAGTTACTATTTATATATTAAGATTATTATTATTGTTACGAGCTTGGGGTTCGAGACAATTAAAAACTGCCGATTGAATTACCAAAATTGACACTTTAATTACAGAACACTAATTACAATCTAAAACCACACTAATAATAAAACACAATTGTACTACTTATCACTATAGTTCGCAGTTATTTCGCTTCGAAGTATTGTCTTGTATCTCCAATTCAATACTGACTTGGTCGTGGTCTATACCGGCCTTATATAGGGCCTCAGATAGTTTCCAGAACCTTCTACGGTAGCGACATCTAGAATATTCGAGTACATATCGGTCCCGAAATTTCTAGAAGGATCTTGACTCTCCTAGTTCTGCTACTCGACACTAGAGGGCGCTAGTGGTGACTAGTGTTGCCACGTACAAGACATTAATAGTGGCGCACAACATTATTATAGCAGTCATATTTAAAATCATAATACATTACAAACATTACATTCATGGTCATGTGAATTTATTCATAATTAAAAAAAAACTCCTTAATATTATAGAAAGCCCTGTCCACCAACCACATAAAAAGTTTGCTTTTAAATTTATTAAGAGTCAATGACTTTGTCGCTAGGCAGTTTGTTAAACACCTTTACTGCCATCGAGTAACAGCTCTTATGAGAGGCCTTCTTTCTAAATGGAAAAGCTAGTTTATCCTTGTACCTTGTATTAAATATAACAACATCGCTATTTTTTGTAAAAAAAGTGTGTATGTTTTTTGACCAAGACACCCAACTCGAAAATATAAATGCTAGGAAGTGTTAGAATTTTTAGGGTGAGCAATAAAAGCTTTATTAACTGTAGATCCATTTCCCAAAAGCATTACGCCATATCTCAAAACGGAAGCTATATAGACATGATAGGTGAGTAAAGCAGTTTTTTGAGATGAAGTCTTTGGAAGACTTGAACGATTCCCTCAAAGATTTGTACAAATATTCATTAAAATTATTAAATTAAAAAATTAAGAGTATATTAGTGATAGCAGTATAGATATAGGATTGCTAAAAAACTATGGTCAATGTCAAAACTCACTTCACCGAGTTCTATGGTAACTCCTTCACAGTTCAGGCTACACGCCTTTGGAACTCCTTGCCCGATGACATCAGAAAAGCACCCAATAAGTACGCTTTTAAAAAGACTCATATATTCATAGGTATTGTATGTACTAATTATAAATGTATTTAAATATGTGTATTTGTATGTATATATTTGTATATATGTATGTATGCATTATATAGTTAATTATCATTTTATGTAGTGTTATTTTATTCTATTTTGCCGCACCTATGTCAAATTCTCACCACTCCATGGGTTGACCATTGGTTCTCTACCAGAATGCCTTAAGGCCTTAAGTCCGCCCTTTGTATTCTTTTGTTTCTAGGAATGCAATAAAGAATAAATAAATAAATATCTGAAGACGGCTAAATTAAAAAAAAAACATTTAACGTAAAAAAGAACCTATTTATTAATGATTTTTTTAAAAAAATCTAGAAATCTGTTCTTGTAATACTGGAATAGTTTGGGAATTGATAATTTTGTCCACCAAACCTTCGATGAACAATGGGCGGGATAGTAACTTATTGGTCGTCATAATGCTCACGGTCTCGATAAATTTATCATTTCGCAGCACATGAGCAATTATTATGTCTTCAAACTGAGAGGATTTTAAATTTTGGATGGATAAATCGATAAACGAATTACAAATCGATAAAAAAATAGCTAGGATCCGGCGATAAAATGATATGTCTATTTTATAGAGCAGTGGCTGAGCGGAGCTTAGTTGTAACACAATTGAAGGAAGGCGAGAGGTGCTCTTCAGACATCATTTTATTTTATTAGGCGGATCTTAGCCAATATTTTTTAAAATCGTCAATATAATGGATTTCCGAAAAGTGACGCCTGATTCTATTAATTATCTTTATAATTAATTAATTTAATACACAAAATCGCATGACTTTTACGTATCAAAACCCACTTCAAGCTATTATTTAAACGATATAACATAAGCAGCAACCCTCCGGCAATCAAGTTCCCGCGGAAACTCGTGAGAACACACAAAACTATGAACTGAGGCGATTTCCTAGCTATGGATACCTGTCATTTCGCCACAGTATGTTTGGACTTATGAAATATAAAAGTATCCTCACTTTCCCACAGCTGCCACCAAAATCATCAATATCAGCCGGCTGCCAGGATCTGCTGACGAGGCTGCTGCAGCACGACCCCGACAAGAGGATCAGCTACGAGGAGTTCTTCGCGCACGAGTACCTTGACCTGGAACATATGCCTTCGAAGGAGAATTATGAAAAGGTGGGTAGTTGTTTTACGTGGGTGTTGTTACCATGTTGCAGCTGTATTATATTTGTAGCACGAATGGGTCGGCTAGACCGGGGAAGTACCACACTATCACAGAATACCAGCTTAAAACAGCAGCTTAATGCTGCTCCGTTTTGTATGGTGAGTGTAGAAAACCGGAGAACCTTTTTAACTGGAAACAAGGGAATCCATCTTAGTCCTCAGGGATGACAACGCATCTGTATTTTGATTCTTGATCGAGGATAAATGTCTATGGGCCACAGCAACCACTTACCATCAGGTGGACTGTGTGCTCGTTTGTCACCCTTATTCTAGTTGTACAGTTGTTTCGATTTTAGTCGAGACGGTAAAGCGCTTTTTATTATCCATTTTCCCAAATTAGCTAAGCGAAGCACTCTAGCAATAATATATATTATATTAGTACGTGAATTTTTTTTATAGGATAAACGTGACAAACGAGCACACTGTCCACTTGATGGTAAGTGGTTGCTGCGGCCCATAGACATCTACATCTATCCTCTGTTACAAATCAAAATGTAGATGCGTTGTCACCCGTGAGGACTAAGATAGAATGCCTCATTTCCAGTAAAAAGGGCCTCCGGCCACCTGCACTCACCAAGCGAAACGCAGAGGTAAACCTCTACTTCACGCTGGTTTTCTGTGAGGTCGTGGTACCACCCCGGTTCGAGCCGGCCCATCCGTGCGACAGCAAAAGCTGCCGCGTCGCTCTACCACTGTTAACGAATGAATGGTGAATGGGAAACTTTGTACCCCTTTTGAAGCATATTGCGCGCACGGAGCAGTTTGAGATTTAGTATAGTTAAAGTATATATGGAGGAGTTAAGAAAGCTAAAATTTATATATAATATGTGTTACAAATACAAAATAAAATAAAATATTAATTGTTTACGTTCATACTGCCAGTGTCAAACACATAATAGTCTGTGATCAAACAGTCAAGTATATTATCAACTTATATAAACTATGTTTTAGCACAGAGTAGAGATTGTCGGCAAAGAACTTTAAAATGATCCCCACAAGTAACTACTGACAGATATATTGAATGAGCTGTGAATTTTTTGTAATTTGGAAATGTTCCTCTTTTAAATAGTCTGTGGAGTGTACGTATATCAAGGCAAAAAAGCGTTTATTATATATTTTGTATATTAGATATCTGTGTTGACCTATAAAAGTCCACTGCTGAACATATACCTCCCCCATAGATTGCTTCATAGGGGGATATTTTTCATAGTGCCTACGCTTGGTAAGCGGGTTGGGAACCGCAGTTTTACTTTTTTATTTTTAATCGTTATTAGGAAGACGCTGCTGGCCATCTCCTGATTTGTTTCCCTCTGTCTATTACGACACTCACGGGATGATGTAGGGTAGTGGTTATTTTTAAACCAACACTGCGCGTTATGGGGATTAATTCATTTATTTTTTACTAGCTGTTCCCCGCGACTTCGTTCGCGTGTTAGTGTTTTTATGTTTCTGCGCGGAACCCTGATTCTTTTTCTAAAATAAAAGTAGCCTATTTTACTCCTTATGAAATCAGCTATCTGCCAGTGAAAGTCCCGTCAAAATCGGTCCAGCCGTTTCGGAGATTACCCGGAACAAACAGACAGACAGACAGACAGACAGACAGACAGACAAAAATTTTAAAAATTGTATTTTAGTTATAGGTATCGTATTTACTTTCATATGCATTTAGTAAAAAACTGTAATTTTGACATTACAAACAGACACTTCAATTTTATTTATTTGTATAGATTGCACCAAAAATGTTGTAGAAAAGGCGAGGTTGCTGTATGTCATTACCTACCTGCTATCTTGGGTAGAACAGAGAGTAAGTATAGTATACTTACTCTCTGTTCTGTCTCTGTTAAGTATAGTATACTTATTTTAAGTATAGTATAATATAAGTATGGGCAGTTAAGTTGTCATAATCATAAATAAATAAATAGCTATTTTTCAAAGTGTAGCCAAATTTTAAACTTAAGCTCAAATATATACATAATGATTTACCGTTATTGCAGTTTTTAAAAATACGAGTAAATAAGGCTTCTAATTTTATTTGAAATTATCCCAAATTTAATGTGATTTATGGGCAACAACGTTTTTGCCTACCGATCGACCCTTACGAATGTGTGCGTGCGCAGTAACATTAGTTAAAATAATGCGTTACCACGAATTTTGAATTTAAAAGATAAAAAGGATTGAATGTTTGAAATTTATTATTCATTATTTTACTTCACTATTTGCGTATATTACTTTTTTTTTTAAATAGGATAGGATGACAAACGAGCACACAGTCCACCGGATGGTAAGTGATCGCTGAGACCCATAGACATCTACATCTATCCTCAATAAAGAATCAAAATGCAGATTCGTTGTCACCCGTGAGGACTAAGATGGAATGCCTCTTTTCTAGTAAAAAGGGTCTCCCGTTCTCTACACTCACCATACGAAACACAGCAGCGTTAAGCTGCTATTTTACGCTGGTATTCTGTGAGAGCGTGGTCCTTGTCTAGTCGAACCGACCCATTCGTACTACAACTATACTACTAATATAGTTGCAGCATGACTCTACCACGTATAATTATTCTGTACCTTCCCTGTAAATTTGGCCGGTTATTATATACATATATGGTATACATTAGTAACGGTAAATAAATCTCCAGGCGGTGAACCTAATAAAACAGGCCATAGAGCTGGAATCAAGTGGTCAGCTGGGAGAAGCCCTGAGGGCCTACAGTGAAGGTCTCCGGTACCTGGTGCCAGCTGTCGGCTGCGAGACTGACGCCCTCAGGAGAAGTGCTCTCACTGCTAAACTAACCAGGTCAGTGAGACCCTTTGTGTAGCTCTCCGAGTCACTAGCTTTGCTGGTCGAGCAATAAGTCATTGGGTTTTTCTATCATGAACTTCTCAGTAGCCTACCCGGAGTGAGGAAGAAATAGAAATATAAACCTTTTTATGCAATATAGATTACTATTTTCCACTATTTCGGAAAATACATCTGTCCTGGGAAGAACCGGCAAGGAACCCAGCGGAACTTTTTTTTAAAAAAACACCGTTCACAATCATAATATATTATTACCCAAAGCATATTAGCAGACTTTACAAGTCTGCGATTTTTTTTAAATTTCTCAGACATATGGGTTTTCTCACGGTGTCTTCTTTCAACTTTTTAACTTCTCAGACATACAGGTTTCCTCACGGTGTCTTCTTTCACCGGCGAGCACGTGGTAAAGCACTTAAAATTGCATTTAACAATTTCATTACTGCCGGATGGGATCGAACCCGGGTTGCTCGCCTATTGTGAAATTTACGGCGAGAGCTTGGCCCCTGAGCTGTACCGGCTTCTTTGCCTGTAGTGGTGCTAAAAGTTAATTTTTTTTATAGGATAAGGGTGACAAACGAGCACACAGTTCACCTGACGGTAAGTGGTTGCTGTGGCCCATAGACATCTACATCTATCTTCGTTTGCGAATTAAAATGCAGATGCGTGGTCATCCGTGTGGACTAAGATAGAATGCCTCTTTTCCAGTAAAATGGGTCTCCGGTTCTCTACACTCACCATACAAAACACAGTAGCATTAAGCTGCTGTTTTACGCTGGTATTCTGTGAGAGCGTGCTTCTTCCCTGAACGAGCCGACCCATTCATGCTACAACTGTACTATTAATATAGCTGCAGAATGGCTCTACCACGTACAAATACACCAATAGACGTACAATTTAAACTCGTATGTATAATACAGACAAACACGCACACATGTACATATATACGCATACATACGCACACCAACTTTTTAGGGTTCCGTACCTCAAAAGGAAAAAACGGAACCCTTATAGGATCACTTTGTCGTCCGTTTGTCTGTATGTCTGTCAAGACCCTTTTTCTCAGGAACGCGTGGGATATCAAGCTGAAATTCATATCAAATACTCATGTCTACTGTCCCTTGGAGCTGTGAAAAACTCAAACTTCTAAGTCAACGCAATCAAAAGATACAGCCGTTTATGCCGCAAATTTTCAACATTCGCAAGGAAATCAAAACCTACAGGGTACTTTCCGTGAACTCAGAATCTTAAAATTTGGTACGAAGCAACGTATTATAGCACAGATAAAGGAAAAATTGCGAAAAGCATAAATTTTTAGTTACATCATATAATAAAAATATTTTTAATAATTTTAAAGTTATATACCTACGGATTTGTTCGGAACCCTCGGTGCGCGAGTCCGACTCGCACTTGGCCGGTTTTTTTTTTTATAGAATAATTGTGACAAACGAGCAAACAGCCCATCTAATGGTAAGTGGATATTGTGGCCCGTAGACATCTATATTTATCCTCGAATAAGAATCAAAATGTAAATGCGTTGTCACTGAAAACTAAGATGGAATGTCTCGTGTCCAGTAAAAAAAATCACCATATGAAACACAGCAGCATTAAGCTGTTATTTTACGCTGGTATTCAGTGAGAGCGTGGTCCTTCCCCGGTCGAGCCGACCCATTCGCGCTACAACCATAATGTAGCTGCAGCGTCTATCACCTTATGCTCACGTACACACACACGTACCCGAGCGTACACACACACACACACACACACACACACACACACACACACACACACACCTATTCAGAATAGATGTCGTACATCCTAGCGTATTAAAAATTAATAAAACTCCTATATACTTGCCAGTTACATGGAGAGGGCTGAAGAAATAAAGAGGTTCCTCAAAGGCGAGACCGTCAGTTCTGCGACTCCTCGGGTGGAAGTGAACGGGGGACACGGTGAGTCTACATTTGCCTTTATTTATAACTAGTGGTCGCCTATGATCGTAATTTTTTTTTTACTTTACATATTAGTACATAAAAGACATATCTAATATACAAAATATAAAATTAACGCACATACTAATACTATAGAATATGGAACATTTGAAATCTCTCAAAGTTAAATAGAAATTATAACATTTTAAAATTCTATGGCGACAATATTTACTCTGTACGATTGTTTGACCACAGACTATTTCGTGTTTGACATTGGCAGTATGAACGTAAATGTTTTAAGTTATTTTATTAATCTATTTGTAATACATCCATCACAGCCTATTAAAGGCCACTGCTGTTCATATGCCTCCCCCATAGATTGCATCATAGGGCGATATTTGCCATAGTTGCCACGCTTGCGGGTTGTCAACCGCAGTTTTTTTTTATTTTTAGTCATTATTAAGAAGGCACTGCTGCTTACGACACCCACCGGACGATATGGGGTAGTGGATATTTGTAATACATATCATATATAAAATTTAGCTTTCTGCACTCCTCCGTATGAACGTTAACTATGCGAAATCTCACACCCCTTCTTGCGCGCAATATACTTAAAAAGGGTACCAAACATGTTTTCTTCACGCATTAATATAACACTACCTGCAATTATACCTGCAATTCGGAACAAAAACTATGTCATAGCTGTAGATCGCGCGGGCCGGTAGCTGCCACGGTAAATATGCCACGCAGTTATATTTTCATTGACAACAGTTACTGCTTTTAGGCAAACACGCAAATAAAGTTACATTCTTATCCGAAATAAACTTAAAAATCACGTTGACAAAGTGCGCACATAAATAATGACAGTGTTTTCTTAGTCACGTTAAACAAAATCAGTGTTAGATTGTCGACAACAAAGAACTAGTCTTCTCGGCCGCTCGCAGTCGACTGAACGTGTTACGGGGAATTGACCGTAACTTAGTGCGCAATGCATTAGTACCGTAGTGCTCGTGTAGTAGTATACAGAGAAATCTTTGATTACCAATTCCCAGGTCAAAGCCAGTCGACCCAGTGCAATCCGTGTTGCAAGCCCCCACAAAGCAACTCCGGCTCACTGGAGATGTCGCAGCTGAATGATCAAGTCAGTGATGCTGCACTGGAACCAGACGAAGATAACTCAACGAATTGCGCGATTGAGGTGAGAAAGAGAAATATTTTATTCCTTTTTTAGGGTTATGGGTTACGTGTCAGGTCGTATGACACAGATCTCTAGCTCGTAGACGGAATGAGTTACAGACCAGAAATGTGGATATCTTTTGTAGAATTTTCACCGATGCCAATGCATGCCATGTCGAGAGAATGAATGAAGAACGATTGACGAAAAAAGTGTATAAGGCGAGTGTGAATGAAAGTGTTGGAAGGGGTAGACCTAGGCGGACATTTATAGACCAAATCAGGGACGTCTTGAAAAAAGGCCAGGTCAAAAGTTACCCTAAACCGTAGAGCATGTATGAAGGGAATAATGAAAGTGAACGAAGCAAAACAAGTATGTATGGATAGTAGCAAGTGGACAGAAGTGGTCTCTGCCTACCCCTACGGGAAAGAGGCGTGATTATATATATGTATGTTTCACCGAAAACCGAATATTAATAATAATTTTGGTCATTACTAGAATAAACTGCGATAGTATTATAGTACATTTTATATTGTTCAGTAGATTGGTCATACAATACATCATGCAGTAGTTTTAGTTAATTGCAATGACAACATTAATACACCCCAATATGTGTAGTTTTGTAATTTTGAAAGTAATATGTAAGTATAGATAGTGGAAGTAATAATAAGTAACTTGGTTTGATTTTGCAATTTTGTTTAGTTAAGAAGGTATGTTTAATTTTTTATTATTTCCTTTTGGTAATTTTGACTTTTGCTTTTGTTAATTTGTTATTGTTTTTTATTCTGTTATAAAATATTTGTCACTTGAATGACAGTGACACGTTATGGTTAAGGCAAAGGAATGTAGACCATTAAGCCTTACATATATTGTTTTATACTTAAATGAAATTTTTAGTTATACGTGGTAGAGCCATACTGCAGCTATATTAGTAGTATAGTTGTAGCACGAATGGGTCGGTTCGACCGGGGAAGGACAACGCTCTCACTGAATACCAGCGTAAAATGGCAGCTTAACACTGCTGTGTTTCGTATGGTGAGTGTAGAGATCCGGAGACCCTTTTTACTGGAAACAAGGCATTTCATCATAGTCCTCACGGGTGACAACGCATCTGCATTTTGATTCGCAAACGAGGATAGATGTAGATGTCTATGGGCCGCAGCAACCACTTACCATCAGGTGGACTGTGTGCTCGTTTGTCACCCTATCCCATAAAAAAAATTGCATTAATTGCTGTTGTTGCTAGTTAAATTTTAAAATTTTAAATTTTACTTTGATTACTTGTAACCAGCTAGTGTTATCTTTTGCCTATGATCGTATTTTTTACTTGCGTAAAAATTGAATTTTTGTATTTTCTGCTTTGTAACTATCAGTCAACTTGAGGAAAGGTGGTGTGATAAAATAATACCTACAAGGTGGAATTCTCTCTCCATTACTTATCTCTATATTTATTAATATGATTACTTGCAACTTTCGTGCCTCTTACCATATGTATGCCGACGACTTGCAACTGTATGCTCATACCGATGATACTAACAAAAATAATGCTCTAACCTTGATTAAGTCCGATCTTAGTTGAATTCTTAATTGGTCAAGAAGGTACGGGGTCACTGTTAATCCTAGCAAATACCAAGCTATAGTCTTAGGCAGCGCACGTCAATTAGGTAAACTTAGTCATACATCATACTGGGCATGGTCGGTTACAGCCGCCTGAGTGTGAGGAGAGACATCGCGCTTATTAAATATGTGGGGAACATATTACGTGGATGGATACATCACCCAGATGTGCTCGCTGTGCTAAGGCTACGTGTACCTGATAATTACGTGTGTTCTCGTCGCCGCGCCCCTTTATTCCTGGTGCCCACTGCTAGGACGAAGTTGCTTCAGAATGCACCATTGACACGTGCCATACACTACGTTAATATCATCTCACAGGATATTCACATATTTACATGTAGTCAGACGAAGTTCTCAATTGCAGCATACAAATGCGTTGACACTTGTAATTTTTTTAATTAGTTTTTTATTTTATAGTCATTATTTATAAGGTAGTAGCTTTCTTATATTTAGTTTAGTTATAGCATCGCATTAGTTAATATAACTGTAATGATGTTATAATTATGTAATAAATAAATAAATCATTAGATCCACTGATTTATAATGGCGAGGTAATTCAGTACAGCTCTCGTGTTAGGGACTTAGGATTAACCTTGGATTGTACTCTTACTTGGCGCAGTCATGTCGAGGAAGCTATTTAAAAATATCTTACCGTCTTGTCCGAAGCAACTCCAAATTCAATCCCTTGTTTCTTTGTTTGATTATGGCGATGTGTGTTATTTAGATGCAGACAATTACTTGGTCAATAAATTGAATCGACTTATCAACAACTGTATCCGTTTCATTTACGGTCTTCGAAAGTATGACCACGTCTCTTTCTATCGCTCTCAACTTAAATGGTTAAACATCTCACAACGCAGGAACCTTAGAATTCTTTTCACTATTCTTCACGATCCGTTGGCCCCAGAGTATTGGAAATGTAAGTTTCAATACCTGGGTTCTTCCCATGATTGCATTCTTCGTTTTCATAACAATCTCGTACTGCAAATTCCCTCTCATCGTACTGGTTTCCTCTCGAACTCTTTCGCTGTTACAGCTATATGACTGGAATGCACTTGCCTTAGCAATAAGAAAATCCCCTAACAAATGGATTTTTAAAACAAAAGTATAGGAACATTACTTGGGCTCATCTAACACATAAATATCTATAACTGTTATATCTTTATATATATTTAAATAAGTTTGATCTACATGTATGTGTATGTATGTGTGTGTGTGTGTGTATGTGTATGTATGACATGTATATATGAAATTGTATAGTTTCAAATATTTAAACAACCGGTTAATTTATTTACAGTTGAACCCGAGTGCGAACGATCGCGTAAAGCGACGCGGAGCTCTCGCTCGCTTTCTGCGGCGAAAAGTGCCGCCTTTGAACAAGACCGACGCGAGTCTGGTGAGAGATTTAACATAATTCACCAAAAACCCTGAACTTTCTCATTGTACTGTGTATATTTATGTACCTATATTATGGTTGTAGCACGATTGGGTCGGCTCGACCGGGGAAGGACCACGCTCTCACAGAATACCAGGGTAAAATAGCAGCTTAACGCTGCTGTTCCGTATGGTGAGTGTAGAGTACAGGGTATTCTTTTTACTGGAAAAGAGGCATTCCATCTTAGTCCTCAGCGATGACAAACGCATCTTCATTTTGATACTTAATCGAGGATAAATGTAGATCTCTATAAGCCATAGCATCCATTTACCATCTGGTGGACTATATGCTCGTTTGTAAGCCTTATTCTATAAAAATTCATTATTATATCTGTTTAATAACTTTTGATAATTTTTGATTGAACAGACAGCCGAGGTGGCCGACAAAACTGAGAAAAATGGATCAGAAGACGCGGGCAACGATATGTGTAAGATTACTTGAAGATTTCATTGTAGCCGGGTTATTTAATAGTTTTAAATACAAAGACTTCTATGTGTACTGCAAGACGAGCACTACGGCACTAATACATTGCGCACTAAGTTACGGTCAATTCTCCGTAACTCGTTCAGTCGACTGCGGGCGCCCGAGAAGACTAGTTCATTGTTTTGTAAACCGCGAACGTTGTTTTCGACAATCTAAATACTGTTTTTTTTTTAAAGACTGAGAAAACGCTGTCATTGTTTTTATGTGCGCACTTTGTCAGCGTATTTTAAAGTTTATTCCAGACTAGAGATCCGCCCCGGATTCGCACGGGTGTGACAGATCTCGACAACAGCGCCACCTACCGGTTTCAAATTTGTATCTAAACTATCTAGGGTCCCATTCAAACACAAAAAATTTCATCAAGATCGGTCGAGCCGATTTGAGTTTTAACGAGACTAATTGCGTATTTGTCTAATAAAAGAATTTAGTGATAAAATTAAAATTTTTATGCAACCAACTTAAATATAAATAATTTATTGTTGATTTTTAAAAACCGTTCAACCGATTTCGATAAAATTTAAATGGGACCACCTACGAAATATTTTAAATATATATGACACAAAAAAAAATTCCAAATCGGTTCAGGCGTCTTAGAGTGTAATCGGTGAACATACATAAAAAAAAGATTCGGACGAATTGAGGAATCACCTCCTTTTTTCTGCAAAAACTGTTGAAAACTGTAACGGTCGTATGTAAAAATACAAGTGAGTGGCGTACTTACCGTGCCAGCTAGCCGCACGCGCGATCCACCGCTGTGACACAGTTTTTGTTCCAAACTGTCGCTCTTGTAGATATACATGGTAGTGTCTGCTACGTGCGAGGAGAGTAAATATGCCGATTACCATAAGAAATGGATGTATTCTGCCACACACAGTAAATATACAATCACGTCGTTCAAAATCGCTGAGCTTCTTCGATGAGGTCCTTAATAATCGCAGATGTAACTCTCGTAGTCGGTTCCCGACGTGGAGTTCACTATCGCGTTCCCGTAACAATTCTCCAATCGCTTTTATACCCAACTAGCTGACACCTGCGACTTTGTCCGCGTTGTTTGATATATTAACAATGTTTTCGTATGTGCGAAGGAAAAAAACATCAAAAAGATCGCAAGCAAAAATATACTTTGGTTACAAAATTTATTTGTAAACAACGTTAGTCGTAGCACCGTTTGTAGCTAAAATATATAAAATATCTGGGTTAGTAACGCGAGAGCAAGCGACCTACAGATGGCCGTGTGAAAAATCCCGTATAAAAATCGTTGTTTGTTAAAACTTTAACAACTTTATGTTAAATGAAGATATCGCAATATTTTTTTAGATAAGGGCCATGTGTCTAAGAAATAAAACTTAGAAAACCTAATTGAAATCTATCCAGTAGTTTTTTTTTCCGTGATGCGCGCAAAACTGCAAACTTCTATCATTTTAATTATGTAGATAAGAGAAACAGAACATTCTAGGTCTATCTGACTCATCCAATCATTCCCCTCATCTATACAAATAAATAAAATTGAAGTGTCTGTTTGTAATGTCACAATTACAGTTTTTTACTAAATGCATAGGAAAGTAAATATGGTACTTATAACAAAAGTACAATAATTTAAATTTTTGTCTGTCTGTTCTGTCTGTCTGTTTGTTCCGGCTAATCTCCGAAACGGCTGGACCGATTTTGACGGGGCTTTCTCTGGCAGATAGCTGATTTTATAAGCAGTAACTTAGGCTACTTTCCTTTTAGAAAAAAAATTAGGGTTCCGCGCAATACCATAAAAACCCTAACACGCGAGCGAAGTCGCAGGGAACAGCTAGTTCAATAATAAATTGCTAGAACACTCGTGATTTACAATATGTCCAAAGGAAAAGAGACTTAATATGTTCATACATAAGCTTGAGTTTTGCTTGCATCTATAAGTTTTAAAGTTGTCTACTCTTACGCCCACATATTTTATTAACTAGTCAGGGGATGTCGAACCTTATTATTCATAAGGCTTTATAAACGTACACATAAGGTTGAGTCTTGCTTGCTTAAATAAGTTAGAGAGTATCATATGGACAGGGGACATTGAACCTTATACTTCAGACATAAAGACTGATTTCCTATACCTAGTGTTTCTATTTGAATACCAAGCGTCACGAACAGGCAATTGATTGTCCCAATAATATGTCTTTCAATTTATCCAGAGGTTCTCAAACTAGTGTAAAACTGTGTTTGTTTCTTTATTTGACACGATACTGTTTACATTTAAAAGAAAAATCTCCCAGTAGGAAATGGGTTCGATTTGCGGGAAGTCGATGGATGCAGGTTGCTCAGGACCATGCTTTGTGTCATTCCTTGGAAAGATCTATGTTCATCAGTGGACTTGTAAAAGGCTGTGGTGATGATGTTTAACGTCCAAATTCGAACATAACTCCCACATTTCAAAGTCTACCAATTAACAATTCGATTACCGTTGGGGATTGAATTCGCATAGTTCGCGTAGTGTGTAATTTACGGCAAGACCCTTGAGCTACCACGACCATGGTCACACATCACACAAACCTTCACTAATCGATTGTAGAATAAATTACTACCGTTTTCTTTCTTCATCATCACCATGTAAAGGTCTACTGCTGGACACAGTGCCTGCCTTAAATGACTTGAGCACATTTTGACACTGCTGCTCTTCTCCAGTCTTCTGGTATTTAACGCTTGGCATAAACGAGATGATTTTAATATCCACTACCCCATATCGTCCCGTGGGTGTCGTAACAGGCAACAGAAGGAAACGAGCCAGGAGATGGGCAGCAGCATCTTCCTAATAACGACTAAAAATAAAAAAAAAATTGCGGTTACTTGCCGACTTGCCAAGCGTGCTAAATATAGTAACCCCCCCCCCCCCCAACACCTCACGCCTCCCTTAGAAACAATAATAGCTGTAACGGTAACGATGAACGAGATGGCTAAAGGGTCATCTAATTTGTGATACCCATTGGATGGGATGGGATTCTTACCGTGCTTGGTAATCATCGTCATCATCATCACAGCCCTTCATAAGTTCGCTGTTGAAAATTGGCTTAGTAATGACTGGTTATAAAACAATGTTTGTTAAGTTTTATTTTGTTAAAGTTTGTTTGATTTTAAGTTTTGTTATATTTTATTGTTTGGTCCATCATTGGTTGGTTGGATTAATTACAGCTTCAATAGCAGCTTAACGCTGTTGTGTTTCGTATGGTGAATGTAGACACTGGAGACCCTTTTTACTGGAAACGAGGCATTCCATCTCAGTCCTCAGGGGTGACAACGCATCTGCATTTTGATTCTTAATCGAAGATAAATGTAGCTATGTCTATGGGCCACAGCATCCACTTACCATCAGGTGGATTGTGTGCTCCTTAACATTCAGTTTACAATTAGAACTATTTCATTAGACTGACTAGTACTAGACTTAGTAACATCGTTATATTCCTAGTAAGACGGTTAGGAACCGCTGTCATATAACTACATTACGGTATACAACGATATCCCTAGGGATATAATTATATCACAGCTTAAACCATATTACTGTGACATAGACAAGTAGTGAACGCGTAATCCAGAGAAGCAACGAAATATACGCGCACGCACATACAAAGGCTGAAGGCAGCATGACGGCATAAGAGAGCGTCACGCCGTTTGCCGTCATGGCGTGTGAGTCGGGTTTACTGCCAAGGACGCCAATACATGTTTCATGTTAAAAAGTACTCAGTTACAGACAGGTGGACTCTAAGTTCGTTTGTCGCTTTAATTTTTCGGATTTATATTTTATCATTGGTACAGTCGTGTCTTATAAATCTTGCATTATATTATTCTTGCCTTTCGGTGTTCAAAGCGATACGCCCGCTTTTGTATTGGCACGCTTGTAATTTGTTGCCATTATAATAAATTAAAAATTGTATTGTGCCCTTGAAATTGTTACCAGTTGTAAGATATATTGCATAATAAAAGTTGTTTTGTATTATTGCATTTGTTGTTTTATTTATATATATTTCCCCATTTGTATTGTTAAATTTATTAATCATCATTATCATCATCATTACAGCCCTTCACAAGTCCACTGCTGAACATAGGCCTCCCCCAAAGAATGCCAAAAACACGGTCCCGAGCCACCTGCATCCATCGACTTCCTGCATGTCTTACCAGGTCGTCACTCCATCTCGTGGGGGGACGCCCTACACTTCGCCTACCGGTACGAGGCTGCCATTCGAGAACCTTTCTTCCCCATCGGTTGTCGGTTCTTCGAGCTATATGGCCGGCCCACTGCCACTTCAGCTTACTAATCCGTTGGGCTATGTCGGTTATTCTGGTTCTACTGCGGATATCCTCATTCCTAAGTTTATCACGCAGAGAAACTCCGAGCATTGCCCTCTCCATAGCTCGCTGAGCGACCTTGAGCTTCCTCATACGGCCAGCAGTGAAGGACCACGTCTCAGTTCCGTAAGTCATCACTGGCAACACGCACTGGTTGTACAATTTCGTTTTAAGGTTTTGAGGTATGTCTGACGAGAAGATGTGTCGTAGCTTCCCGAACGCTGCCCAGCCGAGTTGAATCCGTCGATTGACCTCTCGGTCGAAGTTGGACTTACCTAGTCGGACTATTTGTCCCAGGTAAACATACTCGTCAACAACTTCGAGCTTAGTGCTCCCAACAACTACCGACATAGGTGTGACATGGACATTAAACATGATCTTTGTTTTGTCCATGTTCATCTTAAGACCTATCCGTTGGGAAACACTATTGAGGTCATTGAGCATAGTGCTTAGGCCCTCCAGCGATTCTGCCATAAGGACTATATCGTCGGCAAATCGAAGGTGAGTGATGTACTCGCCATTGATGTTGATACCGTATCCTTTCCAGTCCAGAAGCTTGAAAACGTCTTCCAATGCAGCGGTGAAGAGTTTCGGGGATATGACGTCACCCTGTCTTACACCTCTCTGCAATTGGATAG